TGAGATCTGGTCTCTTTCTTCTGGCCTGCAGGCAGGCATGCTGGCAGAAACTGTATACATACTAAGTAAATAAATCTGAAAAAAAAATTTAAACCCACGAAAGTAGGAGGGGACTTACTGAGAAGAAAGCGTTCAGAGGGAGTAGGAGGGGATTAGGGAGGGCGATAGGGAGTGAATCTGATCAAAATAAATTATATGCATTATGAAGTTATCAAAGGATAACCAAAGACATTTTTAAAAGAGAGAGGAACAATATCTAACCCCGTGTTTTTATGTTGGTGTGTATGGTGTGTGCACATGTGCATTGTGTTTCCATGGCAACGCTTATATTTTATGTGTGCTTTTGCATCTGCATTTCCTGTGAGCATTGTGAATATACACAGGGTCTTTAGAAGGATGTAAAGCAGCAAATAACCTTGGTTGACCTTGTAAGAGGGAGCACGGATGAATGGGGGATCTCACTGAGCCCTTCCTCATCTTTTCGGTATTAAATTATGGAGAAAGGTAGCCTATGCAAGCAATAAAGAAGCTCTATTTTTAAAGAAAGAGAGCAATCTCAGAGCCTACTTGGAGATGCTGGTTAAGGAAGAAGCCATGTGTAGGAAGGAGGGTTAGTGAAAACAGACTCGACCTAAGGTGCTCGGGGTCAAATGAAATCAAGACTTCTGTCACCTCCCTAAAATTGACCTTGTTGCTAAGATTATGTTTGAGAAGGTGGACATCTCAGGGATCTCGGTGGGGGTGGGGTAGCAAAAGGCTTGGGGAGCCCTGGTGTTGAATGAGGGATTTTCTAGTTATCATTTCAATCACAGTCAGATGTTGCAAACCCAGATCCAGCACTCTAAGGGTTTGATTCTTTTATGTATCTTACTGCTTTTCTCTTAAATTTTATGACTCATGCCTGTAATCCCTTGAGAGGATGAGGCAGGAGAACTGCTCTGAGTTTGAGACTAGCCTATGCTATATTGGTATATTCCATGCCAGCCTGGCCTACATTGTATGAGACTCTGACTCTAATACACACACATACACACACACACACACACACACACACACACACAGCCACACAGCCACAACAAAAAACAGACATTAAAGTCTTAAAGTAAACCCAGTGATAAAATGCTTGCCTTGCAAACACAATAACCTGAGTTTATCCTTAGTACCTATGTAAGGTATGTTTGTGGGGGAAGCTGGTGATGGTGATAAACGCTTGTAATCCCAGAGTTGGGAGGGTGAACACAAGCAGATTGCTGGGGTTTCCTGGCCTCTCTCACTAGGCAAGTTCTAGGATGTTGAGAGACCTCGTCTCAAAAACACAAGATGCATGGCTCCCGAGAAATGACACTGGAGGGTGTCCTCTGGCTCCCACATGTGCACTCACACACCTGCATGCACACACATGTGCGCACACACATGCAGGCACATTCACACACCCATGCGCACCCACATACACACACTCGGAAACCAAAGCAGACAAACCAAACCCAGTCTTAAGCTGGAGAGGGTTTCTGTAGCTGCTTTCTGGGACAAGAAGACGAATGGACGTGAGAATACCAGAACTGCTCTCAGCGGGAAGGAGACAGCCGAGAGTCTGGACAGGTGGTGACAACTGCTGCGGAGGAGCAAGGCAGGGGGAGCTCCTGGGACCTGCCACCATGAAGACAGAGAGTGGCAAAGAGCCTGCCCAGGCCTGTGGCTGCCCCAGGCTCAGGAGCAAAGGGCTCCTCAACTCCAGTGACAGATGAGCAGGGCCCAGTAATAGGATTAAAGCTGAAAGTGTTACAGGTGAGGGCGACAAGCCCATTCGTGTTATCGGCAGAGCCAGGCCTTGTCCTCATCCAGCAGACAGCACCGTCTTCATTGTTCCTGACGGGGCACAAAGGAACACTCCAGTCTGTCCTCTTGCCTCCTGTGGAAACAATCGCTCTATGGTTGGTTGGTTCGTTTATTTCCTCGGTGTGGTTTGAGGATTGGACCCAGGGCCTCATCAGTGCTAGGCTAATGTTCTACCATGGAGCTGTATCCCCCAACTCGCCCTTTCTTTTTTGTTGTGAGACAAGGTTTAGTTAGTAAGTTAAGTTACCCAGGCTGAGCTAGAACTTTCTGTAGCCCAGGTAGGCTTTGGACTTTGGCCTTTCTGCCTCAGCCTCCTAAGGAGCTTGCACCACAGGCCTGCATGAGCAGACCAGCCTCTGTAGAGATCATAAGACAATACTGAAAACGTCAAAAGAGAGGCAGTTACATGCTCTCATCCCCCTGCTCCCGCTCTTAACATTGACACTCTGACCTTTTGAACTTAGCCACTTGCTTCTTCAACCCTAGTTTTGTCTACCTTTTCTGGGGGAAAAAAAATCACCATCCTACATAATCTGGACCTCGGTAGACAGCGCCTGTGGACCCAGTGAAGTGCAAGACCCCAGCTTTGCAGGCAGGGTGACCAAGAGTCATGGAGATGAACGCCTATGTGCAAGAGCAAGCAGTCAAGGGGGCTCAGTAATGTTCTGGAATCCCACTGATGGAGGAACCCCAGAAAGTAAAAGCATTCGAAATAGGTGCTCATGCACACCTGCAGTCCCAGCATTTGAGAGGCAGAAGCAGGAGGACTGCTACAAGTTAAAGGTCAACTTGAGCCACACAGAGAAATGTTATCCCCCAAACACAAAAGACGGCGCTGAGGAGATGGCTCAGTCAGTAAACTGTTCTCTGTGAAATCGTGGGGACCTGAGTTTGATACAAGGCAGTGCCCACATGAAAGTGGACAGTGGTGGCTGGCGTGAGTCTGCAATCCCAGTGTGGTGGTTTGAAGGGTAGTGGCACTATTAGGAGGTGTGGCTTTGTAGGAGTGGGTGTGGTCTTGTTGGAGGAAGTGTGTCACTGTGGAGGTGGGCTTAGAAGTCTCATGTGTGATCAAGCCACACCCAGTGTCTCCGTTCACTTCCTGTTGCCTGCAAGTTAAGATACAGGACACTCAGCTACTTTTCCAGCATCTTGTCTGCCTGCAAGCCACCGTGTCGCACCATGATGATAATGGACTAGATCTCTGAAAATGTAAGCCACCCCAGTTAAATGTTTTCCCTTTATAAGAGTTGCCGTGGTTGTGGCAATAGAAGCCCTGACTAAGACTCTAAACATACTCATAACCCCAGCTCTGGGAAGACAGACAAGAGTGGTGCTTCCTGGCCAGCCAGTCCAGCTGAATCAGCAAGCTCCAGGCCAACAAGAGACCATTCCTCAGAAATCAAGATGGAGAACAGTTGAGGAAAGTAGCTGATGTTGACTTCTGGCCTCCGCGTGTACATGTGTGTGAACACACAGATAAAACATTTGAGTCTCTAGGTGTAGTCATGCATGCCTATAAGCCTAGCACTCATGAGGCAGGAGAATCAAGTGTTCAAAGTGGCCAACCGGAGCTAGATGAGACCTTGTTTCCAAAAACAAAAAAGAAAAAGAAAAGAAAGAAAAAGAAATCATTCTGGGAGAAGGTGGACCTTGAAGAATAAGTTCGCTGTAAGGAATCAGGCAGGTCACAGTGCTGAAAGTGCTGGACTCTCCTACATGATGCGTCCTTCAGGGACAGTAAAGGGTCAGGTTAGCTGGATGGGAGGGCAGGTGACAGCCATCACTGGTTTCTGAATCAATGAAAATAAAGAGTAAAATTCTCCAAGGTTCAGAGGAAGCCTGCACACGTCTGTCAGGGCATACGATGGATCAGTGATCCTACATGATCTGCCAGGATTGGGGAGGGTGGGGTGTCTTTCATCATTTGCAATTGGAAATTGCAAGCTATTTATTTTACTTTTTTCTGTTGTTTTTTATTTTGTTATAAGTCAGGTAGCCTAGGACTATGTAGCCCAGGCTGGCCTTGAACTTTTGGGAGCCCTTCTTCCTCTAATTTCAGACAGCTGGAACTATAGATGTTGGCTCGAGGGCCAACTTTTTAAGTTTAATTTATTACTGGAGCTTGGGTCTCACTGGGTAGACCAATCTGGCTTCAGAGCCACAGAGAGATACCTGCCTCTGCCTTCCAAGTGCCCGGCTTCAAACTTGACAGAGCACGTCTCTCTCTTGCCTCAAGCTCAGATCGCCTTTTCTTTTTCCTCTCTGTTCCTCTCTCTTCCGGTTCCTGCACACCACCAGATGTCAAGGAGAGAGCTCTTGTCGCTGTGAGTTCGGGTTGGGATGTCAGCCTGGGCCATCTGCCTTGTTAGAGAGTGTGCATGCGGATGGGTAGAGTGAAAAGCGTGGGGGCCAAACTGTGGTCCCTGGTCTAAGATGCAGAAGTCTCTGGAGCCTGCAGTGACACTGTGCTGTGTGACTGTGGACTATAGTTCACATGCCTGCTCCTCTGTTTCATTTGTTTGTAAGATGGAGATTGTGAATACCACCTTCCCTCCTCCCTGCCCTCCCTCCCTCCCTTTCTAGCTCATAATAAAATTTGAGGCTTAAATAAAATTTGGTGGGGACTGGGGAGATAGCCCAGTCTATAAAATGTTTGCCTTGCAAGCATGAGGACCTGAATTTGACCCCCAGCCCCCATGTAAAGAGAAAGGTGTGGTGGTGTATACCTACAATCTCAGCACTTAGGAGAGCAAGACAGGGGGATCTCTGGGGCTCACTGATTGGCCGACCTGGCCTAATTGATGAGCCCCACACCACTGAGAGACCATGTATCAAAAATTCAAGGTGGGTGGCTCTTGAGGAATGAACTCAGTGCCCGTGTGTGCGTGCGTGCGTGCGTGTGTGTGTGTGTGTGTGTGTGTGTGTATACACGTGTTTGTGTGTGCGGGTGAAAGCTATTTTGGGGGTGAAAATGTAATAGTTATATAGTTCAAAATGAAATCTGCTTGGGAGTGATGTAGGGGTTACTGGGAAAGTTTAGAAACCCTCATCTTCCTTATGACTGCCTCACACTGCATCAAGGCATTATAAGAAGTTTAATTGTATGACGTCATTTGGCACATTAATAACCTTCCCTCTGTTTGGTACTTTTCCTTCCCTAGATGTCCCTGAGTTCCCATCCGAAAGTTCCGGTTCATCCCGCCTGGCCTCTTCATCTGCCAGTGGGACCCTCAGATCCTGAAGCAGCAACTCAAGTTCTCACGGAACACTTCCCCTAGACACCCTGGGCTTCAGTCACCCCCCCACACACAGAGAGGCTCCAGAGGCAAAGCTGACTTCAGGCGGGAAAAGGAATTTTCTAGAAAGGACAAGGTATTCTTCCCAGCTGAGAGTTGGAGTCTAACAAGTCCCTCCATTAAACTCTTGATTTATGTACCTTGTGAATGGTCCTATGAGTCTGTCTTGGAAAAAGGGAATAAATGGCAGAGAGGGTAAAGCGTGCAGAACCTTGGGAATTTGTCAGTGGATATGTTGGGTTCCATGAAGGGATGTCTGATGGCCTCGATGATACTGGGCGAGTCGGGGTCCTAGAAGGAGGTGACACCCCCCAGGCTCCTGGAGGAGTTGGTAAAGGAGATACTTAGAATGTTGGATCTGTAGCACAGACTGAGAGGTTTTAGCAACAGAAATGTATTTGCTCACAGTCTGAAAACTGGAAGTCCAAGATGATATGTCAGCAGGTAACGCCGAGGTCTCCTCTCTTCCCTGGCCATCTTCTCCCTGTCTTCATGTAAATCTCTTTTTCTAAGTTCTAGGGGACTAGGGCCTGTTCCAATGACTCACGTAACCCCATTCATCTCTGTCTCCAAACGCAGGCTCCTTCTAAGATATCAGGAGATAGGAGTCTGGCATGTGGATGCGTAGGGGACATGGTTCAGCCAGTAACACATGCTATGGGTTGTTGCAAAAGGAACAGCAGGCTGCGTTCCCACCCAGATTCTGGCTAGCTTACCCCCGAAATAATTACATGGAAACTGTATTCTTTTAAACACTGCCTGGCCCGTTACCTCCAGCCTCTTATTGGCTAACTCTCACATATTGATTCAAACCATTTCTAATAATCTGTATCTCACCACGAGGTCATGGCTTACCGGAAAAGATTCAGCATGTCTGACCTGGCAGCTTCATGGCGGGCAGCTCTCTGCCTCTGCCTGACTCTGCTTCTTTCTCCCATAATTCTGTTCTGTCTACTCCACCTACCTATGTTCTGACCTATCAGGCCAAGCAGTTTTCTTTATTAACCAATGAAAGTAACACATAGACAGATGACCCTCCTACATCAATGGGCAGGATTAGGAGAATCGAGATAAGATGCCATTGAGATGGCAGCAGTGAGAACCTTTCTCATCCTTTGGGTCAAAGAGATGAAGGGAGCAGGGAGGGGGGAAGTCTCAGAATCCAGCTTCTGCTGTGGACTTGGGAGAGAGGCCAGCAGATAGGATGTGTTCGGGGTGGCAGAGGAATGTGGGGAGGGAAGCAGCCAATACTTAACTCTTCTCTCTTAACACCCTTCCTCACTCCTGGCAAACACCATCTGGAAGTAGAGACAAAGATACCTGTGGTTCAGCCCTTAGCTGCCAGCCCTCCTGAGGCAAGAGACCAGAACTGACAAGGGTAGAACAATGGAAAATAACCAGTATCATGGAGGAAAAGGTCTGGGACCAGCAAGATGGCTGAGTGGGTGAAAACATTTCCTATACAAACCTGATGACCTAAGTTCAGTCCTCAGAACCCATGGTGGAAAGAGAGAACGAACTCCTAAAAAGTATCCTCTGGCCTCCACATGCATAAACCCCCCCACCCCCCAACAATCGAGTACGTGTCTGGAGAAGTTACAGTTGCCATTTAAGCAATTTAAAAGAGCTTTGGAATAACTGGAAAACAAAAAGCAAAACAAACAAACAAAGTCATTTAGCCACAAAGACAGGAGTGCTACTGTAACAGGCGCCCAGACCCAAACACAACTGACGCCATGTTCAAGGCACCATTCCAATCTTAACACCCAGCACATAAGCCCCAGTGCCTGCCAACATGGAAGCCAAGACTTAACCCATCAAAGGCCTAGTCCGTAGTTTCAGAAAAGTCTGTCAATGTACTAACCTTGATGTTTGGCTTCTGTAGTTCTGCGGCTTGCTGACAGAAGTGTGATTACCAGAATGTGGGGTTTGTACGTAAAAGACAAAGGGCTGTTAATACTCAGGGCTGCAAGATTTGGGCCAGTTCCCTATACAGCCGCCGGCCAGCAATAACGGCTTTCATTTTTGACTTTACGGGTGGGCTCACCTCACAGCACTACCGGCTACACTAAACCACCTACCCGTGCAGCCTTCTCAGTGTCTCAGAAACCGCTGCTCGGAGATGCACAGTTACCTAAGTAAAACAGAATGGGAAAGCAGCGTCTGCTATCACAGTTTGAGTTTGAAGTAGCCCCAGAGAGGCTCCTATGTTGAAGGCATGGTCCCCAGGTGGCAAATCCAATCCATGGGAGGTGATTGCATCATTAGGGTCTGACTTCATTGGTCAATTAATTCACTGAGGAGTTTACACCAACTGTGCTTAGGAGGTGGGGTCTGGTTAGAGGGAGTAGGTCCCAGAGGTCATACTTTGTAAGGTCTGTCTTGACCTTGGCCCCTTCCTGTCTTACTCTCTGCCCTGTTTGCCACACAGGGAAACAGCTTTCGTCTTCCCAGGCTATTCTGCATTGAATGGGCCCAGAATCAATGCAACCAACTGACCAGGGACTGAAACTCTGATGCCAGCAACCAAAATAAGTCCTTCCTCTGAAAACTGTTTATTTTAGGTATGTTGCACAGTATTGAAAAGGATAGCAAACACAGCCATCACTTGAGATCCCAGGAAAGTCTTTACACACACACACACACACACACACACACACACACACACACACACACAAAATGGTTTTGAACAGTGGCCCAGACAGAATAAAGTGGTCTGTGTCCAAATGATGGAAAACAATCTAGTAATCCCTTTTGTTTGTACCACCTTCCGTGGGTGGTGCCACGGAAGCATTGTTCCACATTGAGATTTTATGTCTTTCCCATGGGAAAGGTGTCCTCTTCCTGGAGCTTGTGTTCTCATGGTCAGCCCCCAGCAGCCTGGGGTTTTGAAGCATGGGGGCCTGAGTCACCTTTGAGGTTCCAAGCATGGCGGTTCATAATGCCATTCTATTTCTCTAGTTGGCCAGACAGTTGCTCCATGTAAAACAAAGGGAACACGGACTCTGGAGGGCTGCAAGACTCTGGAAGAACATACTGGTTCCTAGGACAGCCACAGACACCAAAATGGACCTGGCAGAGGTGTCTCATGTGCAAATAACCTGTTCTCATATGCAATGTTTCTAATAGCCTCCCATTTGTTTCTGTTGGTCTACCTGTCTGAGACCGTCTCCTATAGTCCAGGCTGACCTTGAACTTACTAAGTATCCGAGGATGACCTTGAAGTTACTAAGTATCTGAAGATGACCTTGAACTGCTCATCTTCCTACCTCCACCTCTTGATGCTGAAATGACTGGTGTGGTGGGTGCCACGTTCAGTTGATGAGACACTAGGGCTCAGCCCCAGAGCCCTGTGAGTACTGGATAAGCACTCTACCAATATCCTAGGGATTGTAATATCCTTAGCCTCTCCCATTTATTCATTATTTCTTTCGGCGCTGGCTGGGGATTGAACCCAAGATCTCATGCACAAACTGGTACCAGGGAGCTATGTCCCCAGCCTTTCTCATACAGTTAAATTATTTCTAGATGAACTGTAATTCCTAACACAATGTGAGTGGTTGTTGTACTGTGTCCTTTGTACAGTGAACAAAAAGGACACATGCTCAGTACAGACACAACCATGGCTGCATGGTACATGTATATCAGCAAGAGTGTGATAACGTTCTGTAGCATTTTTTGGTGATTGGTAGAGTCTGAGAATGAAGAACCTGTAGATGCAGGTTGTGGTTGTGAGGACTAAGCCTGTTGGTTCTTAGGCTAAGGAGCCCAAGAAGCTGAGGAGATGAGAGGGGGCAGTCACTGCAATACAGGGCTCCTGGAACAGAGTGCCTTGAGCAGAGCTCGAAGAGAGGACGATTAAACCACTCTGGGAGGAGCTGCAGGAGGCAGGGATGCCCAAGCAGAAAAGAAAGCCAGGAGCGAATCAATAGAAGTGGCACGGGATCTGCAAGGGAGATCATTTCCAAGCGAGAAATGAGGCAATGAAATGGCCAGAGAACCAGGGCAAAAGCATACCATCCGTCACCCTGGTGTGCCCAGGCCTGCCTCAGCTTCAGTACTACAGGCCCACATCCAGGGGACTGGGGTGTATAGCTTAGTGTGAGCAAGTGTGAGCCCTGGGTGTGATCCCCAGCATCTCCAGGGCAAAGGGAAGGAGAAAGGAAAGAAGAAAGGGGGAAGACTGGAGAAAGGGAGGAAAGGGGAAAGGGGTGGAAGGGGTACATAAAGGAGGATAAGGAAAAGATGAAGAGGAGGAGAGAGAGGAAGAAGGGAAGGAAGAGGAAAAGGAAGAGGAGAAGGAGGAAATGAAAAAAAAAAACCATTTCCAGGAAGCCCTCAGTCCCCACGGGTTATTCTGGAGACTGAACAGTTTGTGAAGGTTGGAGCCCACAGGAGCTGTTCTGAGCTGCCCTGAGGTTGGGGAAAGAGCTGGAAAAGTAGTCAAGGGTCCAAACAGGAAGCTGAGCCCTGCCAGGAAGTCAAGGCGTCACCCTAGGTACTGAATCGATAAGGGGCGGTTAAATAGGAAAGAGACCTGGGGAGACTTGCATGTAGAGGGCTCTGGAGCCTGGGTAATTGGGGAGAGGCGCTGTGCAGAAAGAAGGCTGTCCCTGTCCGTCACAGAGCAGAGAGGACAGTGAGGTGACCCAAAGAGGTGGCAGGAGGGCGAGGATGAGAAAGATAGAGACAAGAGCGGGACTTAGAGATCCAGAGGTTGGTGAGCAACTCTCAGATGCCTGGCATGGGCAATTGGAAAAGTCTGGGGAAGTAATGAGGGTGGTTTGGAAAGACCTTCCCACACCACCCTGTCCCGGAATGCAAACAAACAGTTCCTTCCCCTGCAGCTTGTGTTGCTTTGACAGTTGTCTCGCTGGCGCAACTGTATTGGACAAGAAAAGCTTGTGAGAATTGCAGGGGAAGCAGGAGCTTGGTCTGGGGCCTGAGGGGAAAAGAAACAGCATTCGACTATAGACTTCAGGAACCATTTGCCTACGCTTGTGTAGTTCCCGCAAGACCTTTAACAGAAAGAGGGGAGGGGGGAGGGAAGGAGGGAAGGACTGGCACCCTCAGTTTATAGATGGGAAGTTTCGGATGGAGTAGCAAGCCCACGCAATGGCTACAAAGCGGCAGGCTTGGGATGT